GGTGTTATCCACAAATACACACAAATGTTCTTCTTTTAACCTAGGAATACCTATAATTTTAAATAACTGATTCATTGCATTATTTGCTCAAACACAGGTTATTTTAATTTCTGTTTTTCAGGATTTCCTAGAACTATTGGGACATAAGACATAGGAGGAATCACCTCCATGCCTTTAATAGGTTTAGTTTCTGATAATCTAATGCTTTGTCCTGTCTAGTTGTGAAATGTTCCAAGCAATTTAACATAAAAGATTTTACATAATGTAATTGCTATATCAGAAGTGTATAATGTATATAACGTAATTGCTTTTGCAGAAATGTATATTTGATGGGATGTGTCCTAGATTAGGTAGGCCTCACAGCCATGGCATATCCTTATGCTGGTCAAGAACTAGACCATTCAAAGGCAGACAGTAGAGTCAAGAGCTTGAGTTGAAATCCCAGTTACAGCTTTCAGAGTCTTTTCTGAGAGTGCCTCCCTTAGCTGAGGAAATCAAATGCCTGGCTAGGCTTAGAACCTCAGAATATGCCAGACTGCATTTCTCAGAAGGGAAATTTGTTTGATGCCTAGAAGTTGGAACAGGATGATTTGGAAACATAAAAAAAAAACCTGTTTACATCTGGCCTGGGTGGTCTTGGGATAACGGTTCTTCTGTTTGCTTCTTCTGTTAATTTCTCTTTAGATCAAGAATTCACGATGAAGGGAACATGAACAGAGACTGCCATGCCTTTGCATGTTTGTTATTCTGGCTGCACAAATAAATGTTATGAAATCACAGAGGTAGTCATTTTCTTAAACTGGGATTCAAAGTTTCCATCTATCTTCCAAAACCTTGGCCCTGCTCTATAGAAATATGCAGTTTTTCAACCTCCACCTTTCTTCATATAATTAAATCAGGGGATGTTCTACTTACTGCGCACATCTACACTGCCTCTCTGGCCTGAGGCTTGAGTTTATAAAGGGTGATGCAGGTCACCTGACTCCTCAACTTCTGTCCTGAGGTCATCAGGGGCTGACTGCACCTGGACCTGGTGGACATCTTATTTCCAAATCTTCGGCTTGCTAATGAGCTGCAGTAGCACCCAGACAACATGAGCAACAATGACCAAACTAATGGGGAGGGTAAGGAAAGGGAGTGAGAGCATGGGGGCAAGGAAGGGTTGCGGGGAAAGTGGAGTGAACCACACCCAAGGCAGCCAGGGAGCACCCCAAAGGGAAGAGATGACCTGGCAGACCCAAGAAAGGGCAAGGAGTTGCGGGGGGCGAAGTGAATGGGAATAGAACATGGCAGGGGAAGTGGGGGTGAAGCCCAAGCACCCTTGACCCTCTAGTAATGGGCTTATGCCAAGTGTCCCTTGAGTGGCATGGGATCTGAACATTTCAGAACCCCTTTATCCCCCTGGAAGTGGGATGCTTATGCCCCAGAAACGGCCAGCTTTACAAGGTGACTTGCTAGAGAACATAATGCCTTAGGAGTACCAGGCACTACAATATAAAAAGCAATACAGCTTTGTCTCTGTGCAGACTCTGTGGGCTTAATAAAATGGATTTGGGCAGGGTAGGTTCAGCACTTTGAGGCGGGTTGTGGAGTGAAATCAACAGATTTCCTGTGCTTACTTGGTGACTCTGTGTGGGTCACAAAGGTCGCTGTGACTCAGGACAGGCGCTGCTGGGCATGTTGAGTTGGGTGTGCTGCCATGCCCTACTCTAGTTGCAGAGGGTTGGCCGAGGAGCCACTGACTAGGACCCTGGCCTCCCCAAGCAGATGGCCTGAGGCTTGCATCCAGAATACGGGCTTCTCCCCAGGCCTTGGGCTCCCTGCCCTGGGTCTACAACTAAACACACAAATCAATAGCAATAAATAAAAAATAGTTGCACTTACCCTGTGCTGATCATCTGTGGTCCATCCTCCACATTGTGGTCCTGGTGCCCCAGTTGCACTGACCTAGGTGCAGGCTGAACATCGGCCAGGTGAGGGAAAACCCACCTGGGGTCCACACCATCCACATGGATCCCTGGTACTGACCACCTGCCCTTCACTCCAGAGAGACATCTTTGCAGGCACTCCAGGCTGCTCTTAACCCCCCTCTCGTGGAGGCAGGCTCTTCCACCCTACCCCGGTAGTCAGGCTAACTGGGGCAGCTCATCACAGCTGTGCCTGCTGCACCAACTTCTGGCCAGCCGGTGCAGCTGCAGTACAGCTGTATGTGTTTTGGAATTGGGAGTGTGGAGCCATCCCAGGTTGGAGGTGGCTTGGATGTGCTCCTCCTCACAGTCAGGGCCTGGCCCCATTACACACCAAAATCTGATTCCTACCCCATTTTGTGGCATCATTGGTTCTGGTAGCTTCCTTATTTCTTCATGCCACCAACCCACAATGGAGAGGTGGCACCTGAGCATCTCTGCAACATTTAACCAAAGCACTTTTAAAGCAGCAATAAGGAAAGTTGCTTTTCTCACTCTTAGTAACTGGTATGGTTCAACTGAAGAATCTGGAACAGCTTCAGCACTTTTGCTAAGCTTCACAGTATTATTGATTTTTTCTAGTTTCTGCTGTGAAGAGCTGTTAGTAAAAAAGCATTGACTCAGCTAGTGTGCTCAATGGAGCTGTTTTACATGCTCAGAATGTGCTGCTGTTGCTGCTGAGTGGTGAAAAAAAATCAAAGACAATCCGCTTAATTTGGCTGAACTCATGTGCAGGCAGCAGCAAGGATTTGAGTAACTGTATAAAGATCATCACAAATCTACTAATAGCAGGCCTGATTCTGACATGGCAGTTACTCTCCATTTACAACAGCAGAAGTGAGATCAGAACTGGATCCATTAGTTACCATTCTAGTCCAAGACATCCATACATTAAGGATAGCAGCAATACTCCCTGCTCAGCAGACTGAAAGTTCAAAGAGAGAGCAGACTGGAATTTCTGAACCTCTTGTTGAAAAGTGGAATCATTTCTCAGCTAAAAACAGCATGGGATTCCTGTACTGGGGATCACAAAGCTGTTGCCATCTGCCCATATTCTGTTTTACTTCTGGCCTGCTCATTAGAGCAATTCACTAGAGCTGGCTGAAACACAATATTCCATTCTGTAGGAAATTCTGACTTTTCAAAGCAATTTTTATTCCAAATCAGAATGAGTCCTTAGTATGGGGCAGCTTAAGGCATTCCCTACCTCATGGCAAGAAAACTGGAGGCCTTGAAAGTCCCAGCTTGAACTTCTAGATTTCCTGCCATAGCGTAAAAGCCCTGAAACCTCAGTCTCAACCTGGGGCACTCAGAGCTCACAAAATTCTTCCTGCGACTCAGTAGTCTGGATCCTAAGACTACCCTGCTAGATGCTCTGGCCCAGGCCTTGGATGTCCAAAAGGTGGACAGCTATCAACCCAAGAAGCCTAGATTTTCTAGCAGTGTGGCAGGTGAACTGAAAGGAAATCAGACAAGGCAGATTCCATCAGAAGTTCATTGGACACTCAGACTCTTAAGTTTCTGAAGAAAACACATTTTGTTAGCAAATTGTCAACTGGCTTGCAATTAATCTGGTATTTATAAACATGGGAATATCTTGCCTTTCATATGAGAGAGGCTGCAAAGTGGGCTCTTGAACAACCTAGCCAGTGAAAGAGAGAACATGTTTCTAATTACACCTTCCCTATCCACTAAACAGAAAAATTAAGAAAAAACAGAGAATGGCCCAAACTGAATAGAACAGCCTTGCAATAGCCTTTGAACACAATCACAGGGAGTCTCTGGCAAGTATAAAGACACTTCACAGGTGGGGTCCCTGGCAACCTTGGCACAAGGGAGCAAGGACAGACGAGTCTCTCTTAAGAGCAGTGTGTGGGCTGATTCCTCAGGGCCGATTTTGAAGTTTTACATGCTATCAGTGAAGCCCTGAAATACCAGCTTTATTTTCAATAGCACTTCATAGTTTAGAGAAAGCAAGAAACCCTCCTTGCCATTCAAGCTCTGAGAATGCTGTGCTGAGCAAACAGAGTGCAGCTCTCTTTCAAGGACTGTATTCTCATTGGATTTCTGCATTCAGTGACCTTGGCAGCATTACAGAAGGAACCCTTTACCAGAGAGACGTACTGTTTTTTAATGTGTTTAACGATTAGATATACACATACTTTCCTTCATCAGATACACAGATTTTTGTTCCTTTTTCCCCCTTGAATAAACCTATTGTTGGGGGGGAGAGGGTTAAAGGTAGGGGGGAAGCACTCCAGCTGTTTGATTTCCATATTAGCTCTTCTACAACATCCCAAGATAAAAGATGCAAAACAGCAGCTTTTTGTACTTCCCTTCAAGAATCTGGTACCAAAACAAATTGCAGCATCAAGTGACTTTCTGCATTACCAACCCCATATTTTGGCATTTAAACTGATTTTATTCATATAGACATGAAAAGATGCAGTATTTTGTCATCTGAGAATATGTGGGAACACAAGTCAGAGACAGAGCATGGGAATTTGGAAGATTCCCAATCTAAACATAGGATTTGCTATGCTGGATCAAACTGCTTTCCCCTCCATGCTGGGAATACTGCATTTGGCAATGGAGTACATCTCATACTGCTGAAGAAAACGACAAAATACACCTGCAAATTATGGCGTTAACCAGTGGTGCAATAGTACATGTGGGAGTGAGGGATTTTTTTGGCTTAACCCCAAATTAAATGGCTTCAGCAGTGAAGTTTCAGGTAGGCACATCAAATGTTATTGGTCATTGGTCATAAACTATAGATCCACTCTTAAAAAACAAGGGCTGTAATATTATTATGGGACATCAGATGGTGCTGTTATAGATAACTTACCAAACTGGACTCAACCAAATGTATGGGCAGACAGATTGTGGAGAAGTACGTGTTGTAATGTGGATTTTTTAAGAAGTTACGTGAACATAATTTTAAATTATTCCTTGCTGAAATCTCTTATGAGAAATTCATTTAAGGTTTGAGACAAACTCTGTAGAATATGTATTCATGCAAGTATAACACAGGTACTGAATTTTCTATAGCTATTAAGAGACAAAGAGACCTGAATGCCTTTTCAGGGGAACAATCCTGTAACTTACCACTGTCAAGCCACTACTAAATGTGAGCAGATTACAAAGTTTCTCTGAATCTTTGCGCAGGGTAATACAACAAAGCACACATGGCAGCTGGCACAATAACTGTGTTCCAGATAATGCTGTTCTTTCAAATCCCATTGCCCCTGAAGCTTTTCTTCTTAGGAGACAGAGTTATAGTTGTGATGCTAGTGCTGAAAATGTCTCATGATGTGTCTGGATAAGGAGTGAGGTGATTACACCAAATCTTCTGATCCATTCTACTTTTTTCTGTCAAAACGAGTTTCATCATTTGCAGCATAATAGGGTCACTTTGTACCATGGGGGCTACATTATTTTGTTTTATATTAAAACTGTTTTTTATATAACAAACTATTTTGTGTGGTCAACCTTCATTTACCTACGGATCAGTCGCTGATTGGTATCACCATCAGGAGCCGCTCCAAAAGAGACTGCTCATTGAAAACCACGTGCGACTCCAAATATTTGCACAGGTTCAAAAGGTTTCCTTATTCGCTTTGACGTTAAACAATATCAGCACAATTCTCATTACTCTCTTCTGAAGCCACCTTCATCAAAGTAATTTACCTATGTACACATCAAATGGAAGAAGTTATCAGCAGATTATTGACATACAAGAAGTACAACAGAATCCATTACAACACAGGATATTTACAATGGCAATCTGATATAATACACGAGAGAGAAATCCAGTGAGCAAGCAAAACGAGAGCCATGCTAATCTGTAAAAGTTTCAGAAGATATTGCACTGCAACTGGAATAGCAGCATAGCTACTTGTTATACCATTATTTAAGGCTGAGCCTAGAAACTCATTGTAAGCCACTGTTAAGCTTATCTGATTAATCCTGAAATTCTGGGTATGGATACAGGAACAACCTACTGTGGGAAAAAATGTGATAGGGTTTTACTACAAATCAGCTGCCATTCAGTAACTCCCCATGGGCACACTCATACCCCACAGTATGTAGAAGCTAAACCATGATATCTTTCCTCTCTTTCACTGAAGGCTAAGTTACCAGAGTTCACCTTCCTGGTACTGAGGGATATGAAGATGCACAAAAGTGGGCAGCACAGGGCAGCTGACATGCGGTAAAGCTCTACCTCATTTTGTCCCATAGTAAGTAGTATTGTGTTTATACCCAAAGTATCAAGTTTCAGTGTCAAGCTGAGTCTGTCAGAGTTTTTACATTTCCCAATGGAAGGAATTTCAGAAAACATCCATACCCTTTGTATGTCACTGAAATAGTGAAAACATGGTTTAATGCTAAGGAATGATAATTAACATGCACAGAGCTTGCCCGTGTTGTTCCCCCTTCCATTCTGTGCTCCTTCCTGTCTCACTCATGCTTGTGCCTGTCCTAAATTAGCCTGTAAACTTTTCAGGATGTCAATTCTGATTTGAATGTCATACAAATGAGTGATCCTCAAAATCTTACCTCAAACTACTACAAAGTGCTAAAATAGATTCTATTTACAATAAGGTTTTTTTGTTGGTTGTGTTTTATTCACATGTTGCTACTTTTACTGTACTCTGCTAATCGTTATATGGATTGATATCTAAACATGTAACACAGTTTGGCGACTGTCCATTAGGGATCCTCAAGCAGGACTATGACAATCTATCTCAGCTTCACATGCAGCCAATCTGCAATCTAGTAATTGCTTCCTGTTGTGGGGCTCCTTGGACTCTCTGGGGTTGGACTTCTTGTGTGGAACTCTTCAGGGCATGGGGGAGTCCATGCTACCCCTGGCATCTCCCAACCTCCTCATTAACTTTACAGTTTCACCCAAAGTCACACCTCTCTCCATGTGACTAAGCAGGAAATACAAGCTTTGCAAATGAACTTGCTAGAGCCTACTTTAGTTTTAGGTGACACAGGAGAGTTAAAAATATAGGCAAGGCAGTAAATGTTTGAATGCAATCCTACCTCAGAGTCTACCTTGGGTTTGGTCAATGTCTTTGGGGAAGACAAAGCCCTTGATGCTCCATAATGTTCTGCTGAGTCTTCTGTTTTTTTCTTTCTTAAAGAGAAAATTTCTTTTAAAAGCAGTTGGGGAACACCTTTCCCATTGCTGGTATTTTTATTGTGAATTTTTCATGCTCTACCCTGCACTATCAGTCCTTCATTGTTACAAGTCAGTGGTTCCATCGATAGCAAACTCATTGGCTAAACCAGGTAGAACCAATGAAGGTGATCCGCTTTTAGCTTTCTTCACACCATCTGCTCCTGCTACAGAATGGCAGTTCAAATCCACAGTGAGGGCTACAATCAGAAATTATATTTGATAAAACAAACAGGAATTCATAAACAAACACATTTATCAGTGTATGTATAGAATTACCTGGTTACAATAAGGCCCAATGGAGCATTATCTGGCTTGGGTGGGTTGGAGTCATTATTTCTCCCAGGCTCCCTCCTTGTTCAGGGAAAGAAGTAATTTATGGCTCCCCTTTTTTTCTAGTACCTATTCTGCCTGGTAAATGTGTGTTGTAGGTAGGCTGCTTCCTTCTCCCTCCTTGTCTTTGCTCATGTGAGTAGGGTGAGTAACCCCTGCTTTCTTTTCTCTCATCTCCTGAATGGAGTCACAGTAGGAGAGGAGTTAACAGGAAATGAATAAAAACTGTGCTAATCAACCCCTTAAGGAACAAAACAGAACATAATGGCACTTTGGTGACCAATTGTGCAGCATGAGGGAGCAGCCACAAAAAGTGAATATTTACACCACAGGTCAGAACATATAAAGAACATGTTCTTCAGATGATAGCAAGCTCACACAACTCTTTGTTCAGAGACAGTTTGGAAACACAGAGGGGCAAAAGAGTGGAAATGTTTGCAGTGCTCAAAGCAGTGAGTGTACATATGTTCATGGCCAAAAAAGAACTTAAAAATGGATGTGCTTCCTGAAACAGCTCTCTGTGCAACACACTGTGACAGGGGTTGCTTGGTTCTCCTGCATCCCACAGTGCTCTGTTCCTTCTTGTTCCTGGGGGAGTTGGGGGGTGAGAGACAGGTGAACAGCCTTGGGATAGTGGAGGTTGAGAGGCCTGCAGGGATTCCTGCTCTCCAGCCAGGGGCCTGCAGAGGATTCCTTGCATGCCTCTCAGGCTCTGGAGGTTACTGAGGACTGCTGAGTTCAGAGGAGAACGCTTACTGACTGTCTGCCCATCTCTCTCTCTTCCCTGGGTGGGGACAGGAATAGGAACAGAGCACTGAGGGATGCTGGAGGAATGAGAAACTTCCTACTGTGCCCTCTGTCAGGAGAGCACTGCCACTGCTATGATTAAAAGTGCTTTGGTGTGGGTGCAGTTGGAGGACACATGTCTGTATGGCACTGAAGCATTATGAATCTGAAGTGCTCTAAATTGGAGTGGCACTTGGTGTGCTGAAAATAAACAACTGTCTGTGGATTAATTCAAACAAATTACTTTCAGTGGCTAATTTGGCAACCTAGTGTTTCTTGGTGTAATCCAGAAAGGCAAAAAAAGGTCACCGATTTGAGATGGGAGAAACCATCCAGTCCATTCTCCCTGCCTTTGCATTTTTGTTAGATTTTCAACATCATGGTTTCCGAAATGTAGCTTACGTTACTGTTGTGAAAAGCTGTGGGAAGCAGCTGCTGATGGGGAAACACTCTTCACATTGGAATGCATGGCCCCGTGGCTGTGCAACAGAGCAGAGAGAGCCAGGCTCTGGAATGTGTACATAGAAAGAACATAACAGGAATGTTTGCTTTAATGAGAAGACAAATGCAGGAGGCTTTTCTCAAACTTTCCTTGAAAAACTAATTCAAATCATGTTAACATATGATTCTTTTCTCAATTGGGTCCCTTAATGTATTTTTTCCTGCCAAACTTCCAAGCCACAAGCCTTTATTGGGCTATGGTAGTCATCACTGCATTTCAACCTCAATCTCCACTAGTTAAATTGTAATCAGACTATAGAAGCTGTGACAACAGATAAGAAATGTAATCTACTGAGTCACATATTCTATATTTGCACTCTTCTGGGAAAAAAAAATCATTGTAGACTTGAGCCAGTGATACAGTGCCATAGGCAAAGAACAAAGTAAAGAGAAAGTAAAGAGAAAGGTTACCTTCTGAGTGCAGTGGGTGATCTACTTGTGTCTTAGACTTAGAGTATAAGATTTGCTCCGCCTCACCTTTGTCTGGTTTGAACACATACAGGTGTCACTGTCCATTAAAAAATAATAATTTAATGATGAATCAAATAAGTGTTTCCAAATATTATATTCAACCCTCCACTGTTATCTAAGCAATAATATAGCCTGTATACCGCCTCAGCACCTCAGAAACATTACTATCTTATATGGGTATTATGATGTACAGTATTGTTGTCCCTATATTATAGATGAGAAATGGAGACATTAAGAAATTAAGTGACTTTTCCCAAAATTAAAAAGATCACAAAGAAAATTTGTACAACTAGGACTTGAACTTGGCTGGGCTATACCCACTAAAAGAGATGCACCCCCAGGATTTCCCTGGTGTGTCTACTTAAGCGGGGAACCCCAAGCTTTCCATACTTATAAAAACATGCCTGGGATCTCAAGGGTGCATCTCTGTAAGCACAGAAACCCTGGCTTTCCTCACTTATTGAGACATTCCTGAGATTCCCTGGAGTGAATTTCTGTAAGAGGAGAAAGCTGGGAAGGTGCTCCAAGGGACTGAGGCCCAATCCTGCCTGGCAATTCTGGGGTGCAAAAGCAGGCCCCTCAGCCCCCTGTAGCACCTGTGCAGGGTGGTGGCAGAGCAGGGGTGGGCAAAATACAGGGTGTGGGTGGGTATCCGGCCTGCTGGGCAAATCCATCCAGCCCATGGGGCCCCTCTGTAAGCCCTGGCTCTGGGCTTCCTCTCTGCAAGCTGGTGCCTACATGCAGGAGGTGTGGCTCTGGTTGCTAAGCAACACCCCACCCCAGCCTGGCCTGATCTTCCCCAGCCATGAGGTAGGGGGCACTAGGGATGAGAAACCTCTGCCTGGCAGAGGTTTTTGCTAGCAACCCCATGGCTGCTTCTAGCTTCCACACCTGCCTGCGAGACTGGGAATTCATGTACAAGCCCCACTGGGCTGGGGCCAAGGGCTCCCACTGTGGGAAAGGGGTGGGAGCGCAGGGAGCCCTGCGCTATGGGGCTAAGCTGGGCTGGCCCTGCATGCTGCCACCAGTTCAGCTGGGGACTGGGGTAGGAGGACAGGAGCTGTGTTATGGGGCCAGGTGGGGCTGGCTCCACACCCTGCTACCACGTATGGCTGGGGACTTGGCTGGGAGTGCTATTGGGTAGGGTGTGGCTGGGGACTTTTATGGGAGCTGAGCTATGGGGCCAGGTGGGGCTGGCCCTGCATACTGTTGCCACTTGCGGCCAGGGACTGGGGTGGGAGCATGGGGAGCTGTGCACTATGGGGCCAGGAAGGGCTGGCCCCACTTGCTGCCACCACATGCAGATCTAGGGATTCGCACACTCCAGAGACTCTGAGGACTCCCCATCTCCACACATACCTACATCCTCCTATATACCCAATCCCCCACCATATCCCCAAACTATCCCACCCCCCCACTTCTCCCCACCATAACCCCCCCACACACCTACACCCTCCCACAGCCCCCACACATATACTTCCACACATCCCATTCCCACCATACCTCCAAACACACCTACAGCCTCCCACACACCCTCCCACAGCTCCCACCCCAACCACCATACCTACATCCCCCCCATTCCCCAACCACACCCCCTACATACACCTCCTTACCCCCCCAACAAAAATAAGACTGTATTTTGAGTTATGATGCAATGGCCTCTAGATACACTATGGAAACTCATGTACATCAAAACAAAAATATTTTAAAAATAAAATTAAAATAAGTTATAGTAGATGTTTGATTTTTTTTTTATCTGATTTGGTTTATTTTCTGGCTGCAAGATGGCAGCACCCTCCCTCCTAAAAGGAGTATGTCTGGGGCAAGTTGAGGGACTTATGGTGGCAAAGGTCAGGGCTTAGGGGGTGGGAATTCCAATCCCAAGATGGCAACCAGGAGGTGGGGCACCCATCAAGGGGCGGGGTTACTCTTGTGGCCATCGGCAGCTCTCCAAAACTTAAGTGGCCCTCCAGCTGGTATAATTGCCCACCCCTGCTATACAGCATGGTCTGCCTGTGCTCTCCCACCAAACAAACAGATGCCTGCCAAAATAAAGTGGCACAATCTCCTTTGTTGTAGCTACAAATTATGGTCATTTGTGATGTGACAAGGCATATATCTGTCTGTTTGCTTGGCTTCTGTACCTCCATTACAATTTTTATGGCTCCACAACATCGACATCTGCTTCTATCCCACGAGACGAAGAGAAAGAAAGAGGGACTCACCCTGTATTATTTAATAGCTTGTCATTAGGTACATAGCTGGTAGGTTAGAGATTCAGGTTTAAGTCAAATGTTGTGCCTGATTTGGAGAAGGAGCCTGAGCTTGAGTTTCCAACAGGTCAGCTGAATGCCTTTTATACTGGTTTATTGCTTACACTTTCTCTGTTCCAGTACAGAATGAAACCAAATGGCAAAACCGTGATGTATTTGCAAAATGGAATTCTTGCTTTACAACTTGCTTTCATTTTTTTAAATACCCAGAAATCCTCTATACTTTGCCTGGGATACTTTAAAAAAATACCACGAAAACAATGTTTGAGACAGATACCGAACAGAAAGCTTTAGAGAAAGAAATGTCAGGAAAGATGCAGTAAGATCAGTAACAAAGAAAAGTTCATGGTACTTGTCTAGGCAAACCTTAGTTTTCTTAAAAATCTCCACCATTGCTAGCGTTTCTGGAAAAACTAAGAGAGGCAAAATGCCTGGTCCACTGGGTTTCAACCACCATCTTACCTGAGAGATAACAGATTGTCACCTTTGTGCTAGCAGCAGTGGAGAAGCAACAATAGCAAGTTTAAGAAGAAAAAGTTTGTGGAGACATATCCATATATAAAGGTCTGTCCCCAGTTCACCTCTGGTGGGCCACATGCTTTGTGTTACACTTTCAACTCTAGCAGCTTGCTGTTAAATTGTGGTAACTTTCCCAGCGAAGGCAGATAGAGTTTAAATAGTTCTATAGGAAAAAATGGGAGAGAAAGGAAACTACTTGGTGAATATCATCCAAACTAGCTCTTCATTCTGTCTTTCCTTTTTTTTTTAATGGAGGCTCTTTCCTAAACATTTCTGTGCTATTGTCTTTGGTTCTATTCTGTTCTAACATGAAGGGAGAAATTTTGCTCAAGAGATTTATGACAGTAGAAAATGGACGACAAAAGCTCTCGCTGATGATTTTAGACAACAAATAAAGATCTGAACAAGAAGGTAATTAAAGTAAAATCCTGAAAGCTCTTCATTCTACAAGGTAAAAAAAGAGTCTCCAAATCCCAGTTTAATTTTTCTTGTCATGTAGACTATCCAGCTCCAATGAACAGACAAAATGTTCTAGTGTCTCTCCCTTTGTGTACATATTGTTAATTCTTTCTTGCACTTAGACTACAAAAGGTTGAGAAGTTGAAAGGTGGGATCATACACAAAGGATATTTGCAGAACACTCTGTACACTGCAAGGTTTTAAACCGACTTGAAATAATGAATTGTAATATGCAGTAATTAAATGTAAAACAGTAATTAATTGGAAATTATTAATGGCACTGACTTAGAATTCACAGTCATTATTACAGAACTTCCTTTCTGGGGGGAAACAGAATTTTCTTCTACCTTCATAGCCTTAGTTTAAGTCATTTTCAGTTTCAGAAATGGAAGAGGGAAGAATCTTATTACTTTATAAAACTATAGCATTATACTATTTAACTGTTTAAGAAGTTGATACAGGAATTCTGCTAATGACAAATGTATATCTATTGTAAATATTTGTGTACTTTTCAATACTAGACATTTGATACTTTATCTAATTCGAATATATTGAATATGCATTTGAATATATTGTATATCCCTCAAGGACCCTTTTTATACTGGAGGAAAACACTGGCGAATGTACTGTAGATTTGCTCTTCAAAGCTGCAGGGAGATGAAGCAGGGGACCTATGAAATTTTCTCTCTCTCTCTGTTATTAATCTTGCTAGGGAAAAAGCTTTACTAATTCTTATTGCAAAATCTCAGACCAGGAGTTGATACATTTTTATACTGTTGTTAAATGCTATTCTGTTTCCT